TAATACATGTGTGAATACATAGACAAACAATATGTCACTAGTATGCCTCTACTTGACTAGCTCGTTGAATCAAAGATGGTTAAGTTTCCTAGCCATAGACACGAGTTGTCATTTGATTAACGGGGTCACATCATTAGCGAATGATGTGATTGACTTGACCCATTCCATTAGCATAGCACTTGATCGTTTAGTTTGGTTCTATTGCTTTCTTCATAACTTATACATGTTCCTATGACTATGAGATTATGCAACTCCCATTTACCAGAGGAACACTTTGTGTGCTACCAAACGTCACAACGTAACTGGGTGATTGTAAAGATGCTCTACAGGTGTCTCCGAAGGTACTTGTTGGGTTGGCATATTTCGAGATTAGGATTTGTCACTCCGATTGTCAGAGAGGTATCTCTGGGCCCACTCGGTAATGCACATCACTATAAGCCTTGCAAGCATTGCAACTAATGAGTTAGTTGCAGGATGATGTGTTACGGAACGAGTAAAGAGACTTGCCGGTGATGAGATTGAACTAGGTATTGAGATACTGACGATGGAATCTCGGGCAAGTAACATACCGATGACAAAGGGAACAACGTATGTTGTTATGCGGTTTGACCGATAAAGATCTTCGTAGAATATGTAGGAGCCAATATGAGCATCCAGGTTCCGCTATTGGTTACTGACCGGAGACGTGTCTCGGTCATTTCTGCATAGTTCTCGAACCCATAGGGTCTGCACGCTTAAAGTTCGATGACGGTTATATTATGAGTTTATGTGTTTTGATGTACCGAAGGAGTTCGGAGTCCCGGATGAGATCGGGGACATGATGAGGAGTCTCGAAATGGTCGAGACATAAATATCGATATATTGGACGACTATATTCGGACATTGGAAAGGTTCCGAGTGATTCAGGTATTTTCGGGAGTACCAGGGAGTTACGGTAATTCGTATTGGGCCTTAATGGGCCATACGGGAAAGGAGAGAAATGCCTCAAAGGGTGGCCGCACCCCTCCCCATGGGCTAGTCGGAATTGGACTAGGGAGGGGGGCACCCCCTTCCTTCCTTCTCCTTTTCCCTTCCCTTTCCTTCCCTCCTACTCCTACTACTTGGAAGGGCTCCTAGTTCTATTAGGAAAGGGGGAATCCTACTCCCGGTGGGAGTAGGACTCCCCTAGGGTGCGCCATAGAGAGGGCCGGCCCTCCCTCTCCTCCACTCCTTTATATATGGGGGCAGGGGCACCCCAAAGACACAACAATTGATCTCTTGATCTCTTAGCCGTGTGCGGTGCCCCCCTCCACCATAATCCACCTCAATCATATCGTAGCGGTGCTTAGGCGAAGCTCTGCGTCGGTAGAACATCGTCATTGTCACCACGCCGTCGTGCTGACGAAACTCTCCCTCAACACTCGGCTGGATCGGAATTCGAGGGACGTCATCGAGTTAAACGTGTGTAGAACTCGGAGGTGCCGTGCGTTCGGTACTTGGTCGGTCGGATCGTGAAGACGTACGACTACATCAATCGCGTTGTGCTAACGCTTCCGCTTTCGGTCTACGAGGGTACGTGGACAACACTCTCCCCTCTCGTTGCTATGCATCACCATGATCTTGCATGTGCGTAGGAATTTTTTTGAAATTACTACGTTCCCCAACATGAATTAGTCTGACATAAGGTCTCAGTAGTAACAGACCCCGATCGATCCTGCCGTACAACATCTACGATGGTGCTTTGTAAACCCAACTCTGCCCAGACTTGTTTTGCCCTTTTGCAAATAAACAGACAATGTTTATTGTCCTCAACTCCAATCGCATATAACGTACATTGAGGGATAAGGGGTATGTGTCTGTTCGCAAGGATTCCATAGCAAGGTAACCATCCCTTTAGGATCTTCTACGCAACTTTTTTATTTTTTCCTAGGATTTTGAGGTTCTAGATCTCCTTCCAAATTGTGTTTGTGTACACATTTCCCTATCCATATCCACGAACAAGGAGTTGGCCATACTAATGCTCAAATTCTCCATGGTATGTCAATTGTACTGAGAAGGTTTTTGATCGCGTGTAATTCCTTGTGACAAAATCCTTCAATAGGTGTACATTCAACGGGATTTGTAGGATTCTATGAGCATCTACTGGAGAAAAAAATATCTCTTATCAAGGTTTCATCCCACCGTACATGGTAAGGATATACGATTTTGTCCACACATTTGAGCATAGTTACACCTCTAGGGGTGATAACTTTCAATGAAGGGCTTGATGGGATCCAGTCCTGCCAAATATTAATCTTTTAATCTGATGCCACTCGCCAAATGCAAGCCCTTTGAAAAGTTTGGATGCCTGCTACAATACTCTGTCATGTATAGGAAAATCACTTCTTTGGTCTGACCTTCAATATGTCCCCGTCGAGATAATACTCTGCACTCAACACACATGCACATAAGGAGTCCGGATTCTGAATAAGTCGCCAACGCTATTTTGATAACATAGCAAGGTTAGAACCGTGTAGGTCTCTAAATCCCAGACCCTCTTTCTTCGGTACACACATTATCTACCATGTGAACCAATGCATCTTCCTCCTCTCATCATTATCACCCCACCAATCTAGTTATATCATCAGTAATTTTTTACAAATTCCTTTGGGTAGTTTAAGCACTGACATTGCATATGATGGAATTGCTTGAGCTAGTGACTTCAGCAAAATTTCCTTACCCTGCATAGAAAGAATTGTTTTCTTCCACCCTTTAAGACGTTGGCAGACACAGTCAATGAGATGTTGAACAATCGTTTCTGTCCAAAATATGTATGTGAAAGATATTCAGTAACAATATGTAGATCTGTGCATACATCCTCCCGTATACCAACAGGATTAGTTCCACTAAGGGATTGGTTTCTCTACAATCAAACAAGGCCTTAGGGAGGACTACCAAGCAAACATTGCATGAATCACGAAGGGTAGCAGATGTTGTTGCATTAGGGCATCTCCAATGGCAAGCCGTAAATTTCCTCCCGCATCCCTCCACGGACAGGGGGGACCAGTCCGCAGACACGAATGCGGGAGGCCGTCATCCAACCATAGTCGCATGCATTGCAAATACTTTTTCAACAAACCGGATGAAATTCATGCAAACATGGACGGATTTCATATAAACATGACGGGTTTCATACAAATACGATGGATTTTTATTACATTTTGAACATTTAGAACAAAAACAAAACGACCCGACTCTAAACCTATCCTATGGTGGCGGTGCCCGGCGACCAAGCCCGTGTCGTCCTCCATCCGCTATCTCATGAGCACCGGCGATAGGACCCGTGAAGTGAAGATGCCGTCTCCGGCAAGGAAGAGTAGAACACGGGAGGCAGATGGACCCACATGAGACTTAAGGCCCTGCTGCCTCCTGTGGCCTACTCATCCTCGCAGGAGTCCGCGACCTGTCCGTCGCTGGTGGACGTGAGGCCCACGATGGAAATGGTGGCGCCGACGATGTTGTCGTCCCACCAGGCCGCCTGATAGTTCGTCGGTGGCACGTAAGACGCACAACTAGCATTGTTGTCCTCCGCGATCGCCTGCAGCTGTGCCTCCGTGGCTGCCTCTTTCTGGCGAGCGGCGGCTTGAGCGCGGACGGCATCGTAGATCGCACCCTGCTCCACGACGAACTTGGGGTTCGCCGTGACCATGGGCGCCATAGCCTCCTCTCTCGTGCGCTCGCCGTAGATCTGGCCCTCCGCTAGCCGGTGTTACTCCAAGGAACAAGTTGTACCACTGTTCCTCCCGTGCCTGCCGCCATGGTGGTGTTGTAGTGCGCTTGCTCCATGGTGAAGCCTGCGTACACAAGAGGCGTGGGAGTCGGGGCGGTGTCGTCAGAGCCCGTCTCCATCGTGGTGTCGTCCTCATCGTCGGAGACCTCACGTGAGCTGGCCAGCAAGTCGGCCTCGATCCGCCTGGCGTGGCGGCTCTCCCAGGCAACGGCAAGGACGGCCACCGTGTGCGACTCTCGCACAGTGCTTCGCTAGCCTGCAGTCATGGCAGACGTAGTGCAAGGGAGGAGGATGTGGAGTGGCTTGTGTTGTGGAGTAGACTTAGCCGAGTGTGGTCGCCTTCAAATAGCGGATTTCGGTGAGGCCAGGCCTTCGGTGCGTCAATGCGCGGCGTGGGAGTGGGTTTCTTGGTCGGTGAGCCTGCTTAATGGCGGCATACGGACAGACAGGGCATTGAACGGGCGTGGTATATATCTGTCCCATCTCGTACAGTCACACGTCTCCGGCATTGAACATGCACGAACATCGGAGATGCGTCGCGGGCGGCGCCTTCGGCTTGCGCGCCGCTTCAAGGGCGAAGGCGGTGAGAGGTCATGTCCGCCATGAGCCGTCTTCAATGTGGAGCGGCGCGCTCTACAACGACATGGATGCGGACAGCTGGCGCCAAGTGGGAACACGCACTGACGAGGAAGGAGGGTTTGGGTGGGCTAGGGTGGTTAGAAGAGGGCGTGGGAGCAGGCCGAACTCCCGCAAAGCTCCCATGTTTGTCTACTGTTTACGGGAGAAAGTACGTTCAAACCGTGTTGTAGATTGATACAGAATCACGTTGGATGGCTTTCGCGGTTTGAAGAGTGCAGTTTGGAAGGATGCATGAGGTTTAAGGGTCGGCGTTCAAGATGCCCTTACACGATCGGTGACGCAAGCATTCACTTTAGTATATCACTGACATTTCAGATCCATGTACATAGTATTTTTAGCGTCATCCATGAACAAGTTTCAGAGGCTGACCGTATATACACCGATTCCTAAGTCATGCATGCATCCAGCCTCCGTAGCCTTGTTTTCTAAATTTAAATGAAAATTACTCTTCTGCTTTGCTACTACATTCTGCGGGGCAATCTGCACCTAAAACTGTGCTCACGCCGACAGGTGGGGCCAGTAGCTTTCCCCTTGCGAAGAACCTTGTTGCCGTGTGGGGTCGCCAGGTCAGCGGCTTCACCAGCTGGCTCCTACCGCGGCCAGTGTACTCCTCCTACGCCGACCAGCTCCTGGGCAGCAGCGACGTCCGCGACGAGGCGGCGCCGAACATCTGGTCGAGGGCGACGACGACGCCCATGGACAGCGCCGTTCCCAGGCGGTGGTCAGGCACCACCAGCCGGAACACGTCGTCCCCCACCGACTCCTTCCGCCGCACCTCCGCCACGGGGGCGCCCCCGCGCGCGTCCCGCACCGCGCAGCTCCGCCGCCCGTACGACCCCTCCACGACGTAGGCGGCCGCGTCGGCGCCGGCCGAAGAGGGCCCCAGCGGCGTGACGTGCGCGAGCGTCTTGTCAGACGCGCGGCGGCGGAGGCCGGTGTGGTGACGGCGCACGGAGAGGAGCGGCTTCGCGGCGGTGGCGGAGGCGCTCGCGTCGCCCTCGTACACCACCCAGTGCTCCCCCAGGCCCAGGCCGAGCTTGATCTTGCGCCGCACGGTGAGGAGCGGCTTCCCCGCGGCGTCCATGAGCACGACGTCCTCGGCGCGGCGTCGGCTCCCCGACGAGGAGCCGTAGCGGTCGACTCGGAAGGCGAGGCCGCCGGCGGAGTCGAAGACGGTGAAGCCGTCGCAGTTGAAGAGCAGAGACTTGCGCCACACCGTCAGCACCGTGGGCTGCTGCTCCTCGACGACGGCCCTGCCTCCAGCCGGCAGCTCTGGCGCGGCGACGTTGGGGTGCACCTTGGCCATGCCGCTAGCTCGTAGATAGTTAGCTTGGCTCGCGGAGAGGGGCGCGGTCGAGCTGGCCGGCGTGCTTGCGGTCAGGAGGTTGGAGGAGAGGTGGAGAATGAGGAGAATCGGGGAGGCGGGCGGGGGATATATACCGGCCGGGTTGGACGGGAGGGCGGCCGAGCTAGGAATAAGGTGAGGTGGACGGCAGAGCACCGGATGCATGTCTTGTCTACGTGAGAATACTTTTCAGTTTATCAGAGTTTTTCCTCGAGGACCTGCTTTTTGTCACTAGACAACAATGGACATTTTCTTTTCTTTTTTCGTCTCGGCAGTTGCAAGCTAGCATGCTAGCATTATTCTTGATTGGTCGACATGGAAATAGGAATTTCGCAAACACAGAGCACATGGAAATAACGAAACTATCAAAGAGACGACAAATCTCTCTCCTTTTCTAATATTTCCCATTTGTTGCTGTTATTGGATGTATGAATGACGGGCTACCGCGGGGGCATGAGGGAATCAGGATAAATCGTGGACGGGCGGCCGGGCGGGCGGGCGGCTGGGCGGCCGTGCAAAGAACATATTCGTTGAGCAACAGCTAACCGCACCGGACTAAATTTGATCACTTTGTTGTAATCTCCTCGAAGTGTAGATAGATAAAGTCGTAGTGATATGGTCCATAGTGGAAGGCTGCGGCAAGGAATGAAAGTTGTATACCTTGCCTCCAAAGCAAGGGTCCTCAAACATCGCATGCATGTAGGACGTATGTGCGCGTATAAATTCCATTCCCTAAATTCGCTTAATAGTTAACCTAGAAGGAGCCATAGTGTAATGAACTGTTTTTTTTTCAGGCGGGGAAAATATGTGTCTTGGTCATATAACTCGTGAATTTCATTTCATGGCATATAACTCATGCATGTACGTAGACTAGAGCAGTATGTAGCTCGCCACACTAGCCTATACCGCTGGTCAGTTCATTGGATGGGAAACTAGAAGCTACACTAGGGCAAGTATGCCAGTTAGGGTGATGTCTACCAACTGGATCCTAATTGTTGCTCCATGCATGCATGCAATTCAGTACAGTACTCCCTCTGTCCCGTGATGTTAGACATTTTTTGACACTAGTGATCCAGCACCTACATGCAAATGATCCTTTGTCCAAAACTGACGTGTACGGATTTTTTTTCCATGGTGGGAATTGGGAAACGCAGAAAACAGAACATATGCTCGCTATATAAATCAGAATTTGACGCGCATATGCCAGCAAGTTAATACTATGATCCTGACGAAATTATTCATTACCGGATATGCTAGCTAGCAGCAAGTTAAGATGATTCAGGCAAAATAATTCAGGGATATGCTATGCTCCATATGTAGCAAGCCATTTTGACCAGGACGAAATTATTCAGCGGCATATCCAGCGTACATGTATACTTGGGCAGCGGCAGCTGAATGAATCACGGATGAACACACACTTGGGTAGCATATGCGGACCCAAAATGTCGTCACACTGAAGCAACAAAAAAGAAAAGAAAACATGCGACTCTTGGAGTGAAGTCGGCATCGAGCTAGCTAGCACCCTACTCAGCTTTCAACGTACTGTACGTAGTACACAGGCTAGCACGCATAGAGGTACATCGTACGTGCATGCATGTAGCTAGCTAACTTGGCGCCGAAATTGAGTCAGCTAGCATGTGCGCCACCATCCAACGACATACGGGATGCGCACACGTGGCTAGGCCACGGCCAGCAACGTATTCCATCCAGCTGGTCGATCCATCGTACACTTCCGTTTCCAATGTAATCAACTTTGAAGAACGATCGAAGCCGAAAAGGATAAAATAGGCAGGGTGGCTACACAGTCTGAGGCATTTCCAGCTAATGAATGCCATGGCACGTATACTTGCAATACGGTAGTATAGAACGATGGATGCATGCATCCATCACAGCACCAGTTACGTAGATTCAGGGGGAATATTTATAAGGAGCACGCGTAGAAATATTTCTAGGGATTGTGCAACTTTAGCAAAGATCGTGCGTGCATCTCGAAGCCTTGGGATATAGGAGTACAGTAGTATAGTACTCCCTCCGTTCCCAAATATTTGTCTTTCTAGACATTTTAGATGGACTACAACATACGGATGTATATAGACATATTCTAGAGTGTAGATTCACTCATTTTGTTTTGTATGTAGTCATTTGTTGAAATATCTAGAAAGACAAATATTTAGGAATGGAGCGAGTAGTTCTTGTAGTCGATGAATCGAACAGCATGTTCCTCTGCATGCGGACACAAAGCAGCGGTGTTGGACATCCATGCAGGCAAAGTAATGGGAAACTTCAAGCACTGTCTCCACGAGTCGTGTGTGCGCATGCGCGCGTCGTCTACCCAGTGTCCCGGCCGGGAGTGCTAGCTCCTTGTCTTTTTCTGCCAAGTCGTCTCGTCTCGACGCACAGAAGCCCCACTGTAATTTTTGTAACATAAAAAAAGAATCTCTCTCAGAAATCGATGGTGGGCGTGCTCTCTTCTTTGTTCTGACTTAGAGGGTGCTTGGATCCAAGGGACTTATTTTAGTCTGACTAAAAATAGTCTCTTTAAGAGGCTAAAGTTCCAAGCACCTCTGACTAAAGAGGGACTAAAACTAGTCTTGAGACTAAAATGTTTTAGTCAGGGTACCCCTACTAAAATGTGGATTAGTCCTCTCTCTCCTCATTTAACTCCTCTCTTCAACACATGCGAGTTCTGAATTGGAGGGTTTGAAGGATAATAAATGCTCATTAACTTGATTTTAGTCTCTTTAGTATTTGGATCCAAGCATGGGTGAGGCTAGCAAGTTTTAGTCCCACTATTTTTAGTCCTGAGACTAAAACATATCCAAGCACCCTTTTAAGCAACTTACTCTAACAGGGGCGGACAAATTTCGTGTTTTTGACCCTTTTCTGATAGTTAATCGAGATCTGACCCATATTTGTAAAAATTTCAGGATCTGACTTTTTTACTATCATCAAAGACCTTGACGGTAGGGTTGCACATTCTATCAGGAAAATTTGCTAAGTATGAAACACAGTGTATGCTTGCACCTATCGCCGGGCACCTTGGCAGTAGGGTTATATAGCCTACCGCCAGCCTGTTTGGTGATAGGGGTGTTTCCTACCGTCAAGGTGTCCGGCGGCAGGCTGTTACACCCTACCGTCATGGACCCTGTCGGTAGTAGAATGGTCAGATTTCAATTTTTTTTTACAAACTAGGATCAGATTTCGATTAAATTTCAAAAAAGATCAAAACATGAAATTTTGCCAACAGGGCAATGCACGCGGGCGCAACACGCCAACACCATCTATGAAAAGCTAGTAAAAAAACGCACTGCTAGTGAGCAACAGTAAGGGCGACTATGAAAAAGGCATGCACAGACAGATGAATGCCTTCCCGCCGGCACTTCTTCCCTGCGCGCATGACACTTCACAAACTGCTGCTCTATCTGCTGTTCGCCGCGTATAGGGCGTGTGCACACTGTATTTTGCCGGGTGGTGGAAACGTGAGACGGCCTTTGAATTTTGCCTGAGTAGCTAGGGCAGTGCGTGTACTGTTCACGGCACACATGCATGCACCGGCCCTTGGGATTGCTTGCTACGCCATCCAGGGATGTGGACGGGGCAGACGCCGAGCATTATTAGATTGCGAGTAAAGTCTATTTTAAACCTTAAACTCGTAGAGATAGTCTGAAGCAAACCCTTAACTTTGAATCCCTGAAATTAGCACCCTATATTCACCAATCCCGGTCAATTTCAAATCTAAACCGACCCTACACTGTTTGTTGCATCGGGAAAAGGACAATCCCAGCTGGGAACGATTGTTTCTGTCACTGACTCCATGGGCCTACATGTCATATTCATCTTCCCCACTTCATACATCTGAGTGGTGTGCTGCTTGCCCTCAATGCCCCGATGTCGTCTTCTGTTCCTGGTGTGCACCCTGCCGCGAGAAGATGGCCAGCGCAAGGACGATCATTGAACGTCGACGAGGGCCATCCAGAGTGACGCCGCGTCCCACCTTAGCGCACGCATGGTGTCTACCTGGCTGCTCGACAAGCGTCCAAGCATACCCAATACGCCCCGTACTGAGCTTATCTAATCTCCTCTGTGCTTCTACGACCTGTTGAGCTCAAGGCCCGTCGACCTCGTCATCCCCTCTGTACCCACCTCCATGGCCCGACCTGGCTTTTGATCGAGCACCTGATGTGCATACGGCTTGGCGAGCCGGAGCAGTGTGTGCCCATTGACGCCGATGCGGAGGACGGCAGAAACAACATGACTAGCAACACAAAGACCCGCTCAGGGTAATAACCTGACGTCGACGGCGGCGGCGCGCAACAGCACGCACGGCAACCCTGGAGCACCGCCTCGACCCGTGCACAGGAGGCGTGGAAGTTGGCGTCGTGCATGTCGGTTGGTCGGCGTCGCACGCGCCGCCGAAGAACACCACGCCGGCCTTGCATTGTACATCGGACCACGCGCCAGTGAAGATCAGTCGCAGAAGTGGACACGTTTCCGGCCAGCGGCATGATCCACAAGCTCCGACAAGCAAATACCGCTGCTTCAGGCCTCAATCCGGCACTGGTGGAGGGGAAGGAGTTCTTCTTGGTTCCAGCTGCGCTCGAGGAAGATGATAGCGAGAAGTATCGCCACGGCTCCGTGCCGAAGATGAGAAGAGAAGGGCGCCAACAGCATGAGCTTCTCCACCGTCGCACGCACGATGACCATTGAAAGGATCGATATGGTTGACTAGAGGGGGGGTGAATAGGCAACTACCAATTTTTACTTTTCTTTACCAAACTAAACTTTGCATCAAAGTAGGTTGTCTAGATATGCAACTAGGTGAGCAACCTATATGATGCAATAACAACAAGCATACAAGCAAGCAAGGGAAGAAACACTAAAGAGCTTGCACAAGTAAAGGTAAGAGATAACCAAGAGTGGATCCGGTGAAGATGAGGATGTGTTACCGAAGTTCCTTCCTT